AGGAATGTATCCCAACATGCCCATGTAAAGCACCTTGGACTCGGTAGTGAAAGGCACTATATAAAAATACATTGAATTGAACCATGTATATAAGGGCGGCCCGTGGCATAGGCAGTGCAGGAAAATGCCTGGGGCACCGTCCCTTACAATTTTGACTTTCACTATATTGATTTACTACTATTTTACACTATTATTTAAAAATAATAAAAACTTTATTAAATAAGGGATATTTTTTGCCTTGCCCGGCCCCCCCCCCTCCCCTCCGTATCACACACTGTAGGCATCTTTAAGTGACGTTGATATAATTGATGTGTGTGATACGATTAATGGTATCTAATTCAAACAGACACTATCATGTCAGAAAGACCAAAGCCCTCCGGTGCCCAGGAAGGAAAAGGAGGAAGAGGAGAGGAGGAAAAATGGGAAAAAGACAGAGGTAATAATCACTAATCAGAGTAATTACCGTGGTACTGTCTGTGGTCCGTGGAGCAGAGTGTTACTAGCTTACCTTGGATAATTCAGCATTTGCTAATTTAATAAAAAGCTAAAATTAACGTCAATTACACCCAACGTAAATTCATTAGGGAAAGCTGGAAATACTTTTCAGGTCTTTGGGAACAAGAATAACCTACAGCATCATTTTCAGAAATACACTACACATCTTTAAAGGGTCTTGCTGCACCTGCATGAACCATCCACTGTCTCTGTCTCAGGATAGTAAACTGTAATAGTCAAATAAAATGCTTTTCTGTTCCCATTCCCCTTTTTAACTAATAGTTTAAAACCCTTGCATTTTTATTACTGATTAGTCTTATATGCAAAGCAAACAGCATTATCATGTGAGCGTCGTGCTCATTGAATGAGGTTTTGTGCAAGAATGCCAGCCAGCTATAATTTCGCTTGCTGTTTACTTTGTGTTTAGAAAGTTACAATCTGGCTTAGGTGCTGTTATTGGCCAGGTTTAATGTCACCCCAGCCAGGGCTGGTCAGTTCTATAGGCGACATAGGCGGCTGCCTAGGGCACCACCTTCTGAGGGGGCACCAACTTGCCAGCCAGTTTCACTTTGCCTCAGGTAGGGGGCACTGGTGGTGATGCTCTCCTTGGGCGCCACATCAGCTAGGACCGGAACTGGTGTACAGATATGAAGGACGTGAAATTTAAAGTTTAATTTAAACAAATCATGAAAAAGTGGATGGTGGAGTGAAAAAATGTGTGTGTGTGTTTGTGTGTGGGGGGGGGGGTGATATATATACAGTGGTACCTCAGTTCTTGAACTCATTAGAACTCGAATTTCTTAAAACCAGTTAAAAAAAAAATTACCTAGAGCTCGATCTGAATCTCAGAAGTCAAACCATGAACGCCGATCTAAGTAACTTGTACGCGCGCGGAAATGAGTCACGTAGCATGTCTCTCAGCGGAAACAAAGGGTAAAGCTTCAGTCTCAGCCTTACTGTACATTAGCTGTAATAGCACCGTGCCTGTTTACACTAACTGAATACATATATTTAGACAGTAAAAATACATTTAGAAAATGATAGAGAGTAAGTAATTATTATTATATAATGAAATACATTTGAAAATAAAGATTTCTTATTCATTATTTTATTATTAATAATAAACCATGAATAAGTTTAATTATAATAATATTGTTGTGCCGAGCGGGGACGGAACGGAGACAAAGGCGCAGACGTCAGGGTATCGGGGAATATGAGGTTTAATTACAGGTAAGGCAGGCAAAGCGCAGACGGACAATACAATGACCGGACTGGGGAAACAAACTGAAACATGGACGAAATACAGAGGACTAATGACAACAACCAGAAACAGCTGATCACACGGAAATTCCACATGGGGTTAACGAGGGGGCGTGACACACGGAAGGAGCGGACGATCGGTGCAGGACACATTGTTTGGATACATTTATTTTCTGACTTTACAAATTACTGTTTTGATAAATGTGCTTAGATGTGTTTAGTACAGTATATGCTCTTCTTGTTTTATTCGGTTCATTTTGTGTTTAAATGCTAAAAAAAACATATTTAGGTGACATTTTTTCGGGCCGAGAACCAATGAATTGGTTTTCCATTATTTCTTATGGGGAAAATTCTATCACAACTTGAACTTTTTAGGTTTCGATCTGGAGTTCTGAATGGATTAAATTAGAGTTCTGAGGTACCACTGTATACCCACAATGTGATAAAAATCCGTTATTTTGAATTTGTGGAGACTATTTTTTCGGGCGCCACAAGGGGAAACTCAAAATTATTTCTGAATCTGTGACTGCAATCGAAAAGCGAAAAATGTCAAAAATCTCGTATTTTGCTTGGCTACTTATGGTTAAGGTTGTCATTGATGGGAATAGGCAAATGAATTGAAAGTCCCCACAAAGAAATGAATACAAACCTTTTTGTGTCGTTGTGTGTTTTTATCCTTTCTCCCATTCTGGTCAGGATCATGATAAGAATTTGCATTTTCCTCTAATTTTTTTTTAGGGGAACTCATACAGTGTCAGCGCAGAATAAAATCTACCCTGAAGCAGAAATGTGAGTGTGTATTTGAAGGAAAAGCTAAGGGAGGACAGCCAACACTTCTCAGTGAGATTTACACAGAACTCTACATAACTGAAGGTGGGACTGGAGAAGTCAATGATGAACATGAAGTGAGACAGATTGAAACGGCACCCAAGGAAAAGCAAACAGAAGATAATACAGTCAAGTGCAATGATATATTTAAACCCTTATGTGGGCGTGAGACACCTATCAGAACTGTACTCACTAAAGGGGTGGCAGGTATCGGGAAAACAGTCTCTGTTCAGAAATTTATTCTCGACTGGGTAGAAGGAAAAGCAAACCAGGATGTTCACTTCACATTTGCGCTTCCTTTCCGGGACTTGAATTTGATTAAGGATGAATACAGTCTGATTGAACTTCTTCACCACTTTGTCCCACAGCTGAAACCATTTCAATTCACTGAGCTGTTTATTTTCAAAGTCTTGTTCATCTTTGATGGTCTAGATGAGTGTCACCTTCCTCTAGATTTTCAGAACAATGAGAGCTGGTTTGATGAAACAACGAAAATGTCACTGGATGTGCTGTTGACTAACCTCATTAAGGGGAATCTGCTTCCATCCGCTCTCCTCTGGAT